ATTGCAGTTCAGCCAACATCTGTTTCTCGGAGAAAAATAAAAATGACAGGTAGAAGAGCAATGCAGGCGGGATGAAAAGTCGGAAGTCTTAGAGTAAATAAATCTAAAGCTCCTCATTCGCTTAATAGTTGCGTTAATAAAAATGTTGGGCTCGGTGAAAATAAATTTGCCAAATAAATATTTAGAGTTAAATATAGAGTTTGTCCGTGTGTTTTTTTCGTTTACCATTTTTTTTTACATTTTAGAATTTTGTTTGTAATATATTTTTATAACGTTTAATTTACTACTTTTTTTTATTCACCTAATCCTTTTTCAAACCATACTTATCATTATTTACTAAGAGTTTTATAAACATAGGTTTCGCATGAAATGAATCGAGCGTACGGTAGTCCGAGTTTTGTCGGATTACCGTGCGCTCGATACGTTTCGAGCTCGGGCATTCGAGATTCGGTTTACTGGACGCTCGATACAAAAATGCGCCCCGGGCCCCCGACAGGCTTAGTTCACCACACTGAGTATAAGAAGATCTGTTCCAAGAGCTATAAATAAAATTGAACGAAAAACAAATTTGTGCAATAGGGAGGGTTTTAACCCTTTCGAACATGTAGAGCACTAGAAACTAGTTAGTAGAAGTTAATTAATTTATAATAATGACGATTAATATTATGCAAATTATTAGATCGTACACTGAGATTTTAAATTCACAGTAAAAAAAAGTTAAAAATAATATCTTTAAATTGCTGACCTGGATAATATTTATTTGAATCTTTTAATTGGCTGGCGTTTTTTTATTAATTAGCGCTGATCAATATTGTTGCGATGAATATAAGCAGATTAAATAATTTAAAAAACCAGAGTGGGACTTGAAATTATTTTAAATAATAATTAAATAGTTTTGTTGTTGTTAAGGTACCCAAAACAAAAATAAAGTCTAAGTGTAGCATATCATTGTACTCAGGAGACCGAGTTCTCTCAAAACTTGATATAAAATGCAGGTCTGTATTTAAAAAATATAAGTTGGCCCCGGTATCTCACAAATTATCAGCTAATTTGCAAATCTAAAAATACTATCAGATAGCCCTAATAAAGTGGCTCTCAGAATGTGGAAGTAGTTTTTTGATTTTCTAAAAAGTAACGACAGGAAAAAATAAAATTAATTTTCAAAAAAAAACGTTTTTTCGAAAAAACTCAGCAATCCTTGAAATTTTTAAAACTTTTTGATGGCATCTTGGTGAACATCTCAAGGCGCAACTTTGCCCTAATTTAACCATCTTCGTATCTATTATGGTTTCCCAGATACCAATGCTCGTACCTCGAATTTGTAGCACCCTGTATATCTAAATTATAAAATAATATTTCTTCGTTTTTTTTAACGGAACATCCTGTAGATTATATTTTTATTAGATGGAGAATTAAAAAATGAACATTTTTTTGTATTTACAGTATATCAAAATTTTTAACGGTTTCCACCCTGTAGAAGTTAAAATATTTTGTTTCAACTTAAACAAAATTCTCAAGTTTTTTGTTCTAGGAGCTACAGATGCCCGGCGCACTACTGCCTCGCCCTGTATATGATAGGTTCTGTCCTTTCAATAGGTTCAATAATAAAGCTAACAAGTAAAATTTTTCAGTTCCCAGAAATGTAGAAACTAAAAATTGTAGAAAAAATTTCAGTATTTTACTGATCATAATCATTTTCTAGTTTTCAGAATTAACCTGTGATTTCATCATGGTTTTTACAATCGTTACACAATAATGATTTACACAATAGTTACACAAATTTGATTTGTGTTGATATTTTAATATATCAATAAAGTAAACAAAAACTAATTAGTAAGTTTTCACTGCATAAATATATTATTATTTAAAATTTTATCTAATCAAAGGAATTAATAAAATACATTTTTAACAAATTCCTCAATTTTAATTATTTTTAAGAGGTACTTATTACTCTAACCAACATTTTCGAGAGAGAACTTTAAAAAAGCTAAATATAGTGTCTCATTTAAAATTACATAAGTTTGAGTCATATTTCGGAAATGACACCTCCTATCAAAAAACTAGTTACGCCACTGATTTCTACGTAAAATACTTTATGGGACTCAATTTTCACCTTTTCGATAAGTTATAAGACAATAACTTAACTCATCAACCTCTAGAACGGTCTATTATGCCCTTTTTGAGTCGCATCTTCGTTATGCCCTTCCATTCTGGGGTACTTGGCGCGCGACAAAATTTGATCGTATTTTCAAACTTCAAAAGAGAGCAGTTCGATACTTATTGGGACTGAACAGTAGAACTCACTGCCAGAATTTCTTTAAAAATTTCAAAATACTGACTCTTCCTTCCTTATTCATTTTTGTGAATCTGCACACATATCTGCTATTCCGGAAAGGCCTTCTCACAACTATCCACTTAGGAATGCGGAGCACGATATTTATCTGCCAACCCCGAGCTCAGAACTAGTTAAGGGCTCAATACTATACAATGCCAAGAAAATGTACAATCATTTGCCTTTGAATATAAAGTCACTTTCATTCTTACCCACATTTCGCAAAGCTCTGAAATCGTACTTACTGGAGAGAGCCCTATATGCGGTAAACGACTTTTTTGTTGATATTTAATCATGAACAATTTTGAATTTTAAAATTTTGATCATCTCACACTGGTTAAAGGTCTAGTATTTAATATTTTATAACTCTTGATTTTATGATATATAACATGATTTTATCCATTTACAATTTTCCTTTTGTAAAATTTTCTTGATACGCCTGTGTTCTACAATGTCTATGTGTGTTTTATTTGTAATTTTAATGACGTAAATTTTTTTGAATTGATTTGTATTGTACGATATTTTTCTATTATTTGTATATTTGTTTTTGTGCTTTTTTGTTTTGCAAATGCTTTGTCGATGAAGCTATTTTGGCTTTACTGTACAATAAAGCGTTGTTTATTATTATTATTTTATAACCAACATACGAAGGGAGCCGAAAATTGCAACATTTACAAATTCGCCCTGTATTTTAGAAACAAAGGGAAACAAATCTGTAAGTAGTATATTTAATTTCAAAAAAAGTAGCACAAGCATCATCAAGAAAAAAAACTGCTTCTTTGAGCTCTACTCATAAACAAGAAACCCTGCGAAGATGGGTCACCCTGTACAGATGTGATGTGCAGTCTCCTCTGTGGCACAGCAGTGAACGCAACTAAGTGAACTGGCAGCCAGATGGCCCGCACGCTGTTCAAGAGAGCATAGCAAAAGAATTTTATCAGAGTACGTAGATTACATACTCTGGATATACATGGTGGTCCGAACTGTATTCCGGAAACTTCGGCAGCATATTGTGCAGATAAAAATAAGTAAAAAAGTCCGTAAAAATAATTGTCCTAAAATGCTTACTTTCGGAGATATACAGGGTGTAGAAGTTTCGTTTATATTTCGATTTTTTTTCAAATAATTTCTGAAGTAACGCCAATATTTGGATGAAAACTGGTGTCTGGAAGATTTTTGACATGAGAAATTTGATTTTGATGTCAATATGACTCCTACTTGTAGAGGGCGCCACCTACATATTTTTAACTGGTGTGAAGAGTAATAACTTTTCGTCGATACCTGTATAAAACGACTGAGTCCCTTATACGTAGTCTCTTATACCCTCTTCTTATACGTATAGTCTCGTATACGAACTTTTTTACTTATTTTTATCTGCAGAATATGCTACCAAAGTTTCCGGAATACAGTTCGGACCACCCTGTATTATAGAAGCAGAGGTGGAACTCTGTAACTAAATAGCGATCGGTAGCGATGAAGAATACTGTCCTTGACCGTGGAAACTAAACGGCAAGCCGCAGTATTCTTCATCGCTACCGATCGCTACTTAGTTACATATGTCCACGTTCCACCCCAGCTTTCTTAAAATTCTCGTTATCCCGAAATTGTTAGCTCTCCTACTATATACATATTTATTTTTTTTATAAATTAAAAGGTATGAATAACTGTTAATATAAATGAAATTATATCATTTATTTCATCATAAAAGTAATTTTTACTACCTCAAATGGCAAATAAGCATTTATTTAAATACAAACTTGTAAACAAGAGAAAATTTAACAAAACATAGTACCTATGCAATAATATTGTTTATGGTAGGTTCCAATTTAATGAACTTCAACCTCAACGCATTGTAATATGTATTCTCATAACAATTTCTCTATACCTATTAATTAAACATTTCCTAATAAACCTATATTTTTTTAACTTTAAACTAATTTTTCATTAATTAATTTATATTTAATAATAGTATTAATAATAGTGTATTTATTAAATCGTCATATTAGAATAACGAAGTTCTATTGGGTACGGAGGTCATCTTGAGAAATATCTTGTCAAAGATTTGATTTCTTATATATTTTTGGTTATTTAGCTCTGAATCTAAAACTATTTTACGAACATTTTTACACAGATGGTGCTAGTGGTATTAAAATATTGTAAAACTGGATGGGATAGAATCATATTATTAAGCAAAATCTACATTTCTGTAAAAAGTTCAGATCGAACCATGTTATTCTAACACAATAAAATGTCAAAAAATAGAAAATAAATCAAGGCAAAATCAATAGAAAAATGCAGCTCTATGCATTGCCATTAATTCATACTGTAAATGGAAATTGGCTGACCATCTCACTTTAACTGCTTCAAACTAAGAAATTAAACAGTGACAAATTTCCTGATCTCAGAACGATTATAAGTTTTCTTTTCTTATGTTAATAGATAGATGGAACCTAACCTTTAGTATTATAGGATAAATTTGTCTTGTATTATTGATTAAGTAAATTAAAATCTTGCATCATTTATTAATAAAATTGAATATTATACCTCACACGTAGTTAAATGTCATATAATTAATATTGCATGCAAAATTAATAAGGTAATGCATTTATGAGGTGTTAACTAAAGTGAAGAATGGTACAGCTTTTAAGAATAAAAAAAATTAACTTACCTTTGTGTTTTTCTAAAGTCATATAAAACGATAGCGCCCTAGTGGACGGACTACTATTGAGGAACAAAATTAGATCAAATATGAGCTCCAAAACCAGAAATATTGAGCATAGACACTAAAACAAATTATAAATAATCGATTAACGTTTGTATTACTTTTGTATGCCAATCCAAAAACAATACCTCATGCATACGACGTAACTTGATATAAAATTTCCTTACCTCCTCGTTGCTTATGGCCAACTCCACTAGCAACGAGACCAAGATACGATCACACGTACAAAGTCACTAACACGTAAAATAAACCCAGTCAATTATTTCCTTTCGACACAAAATTATGATTAGCAATAAAAAAAAACAATAAAAATTATAAAAATCAAAATTTCTTGCGCAAAACTACAATCGCCATATGTAGAAAAAAGCAAGTGACGGATGACGGAAAATAAAATGACAAATGACATGACCGCGGAATGACACGAACGCCATTTTTTTTCAGTTTCTACTCTATGGGTGCGCCCTTCGCACCTTTCGCGCCCTACAATCTTTTAAAACTTTGTCTACATGCTTTGTCTACATGAAATGTATACTTTGTCTACATCGGGGTTCGGAAGTAGTTAATTAAGACGTAATTTACCTGATTAACTACGTGTAGTTTATCTTGAAAAACTACGTCTTTTCCCGTTCGTTAACTACATGAAAACTACGTTAATAAACTACCTATTGATATTATGAATAATTTTGCTTTGTATGAGAAGTCTAAATAATATGATGTGAATGGTTATATTTAAAGCCATATTGCTTCTGTTTTCTTAAATACATTATGGGTTTTCTAAAGCTTTAACGGTATACCGCTTTAACTATAACCTCACCTCAAACCTTTGATATTTGAAAGTTACATACCACAGAACACACTAAAGATTACATACACAAATACATACATATACATATAATGTTACATAAACTACACCCTCTACATAAACTACATTAACTACATGTAATGTAGTTTCTGTCGTTTTTAAAAGTAACATGTAGTTTTCCGAACCCTGGTCACTAGTCTAATCCATGGTCTAATCAAATTATTTTTGTTATTCCTGGCAACTGGCAACAGTGTAATAAGTAGTGTTATCTGTGGCGTTAATTTTCATTGTCGTTATCCTTGTCTACGGCGTTATCTATCTACAAAATTCCGTAAACAAGATGCCGCGAAGAAGTTATTGGCTCCAGAATTGAAATTGGCCGTATACGTTTGCTTTGATATTAATCATTTGCATGGATTTTTTAAACTATGGAGAGTGACAAAAGTGCCGACAATGAGAAAGAGCTAACTTCTACCAGTAGCTCGGATATGAGCCAGCTCCTGTCAACAAATAAAGAGGAAAAAAGTGATTCCAGTGATACATTACCTACTTCGTCTACAGACGCTAGTACTTCTTTTAAATCAACAAATTTAGGTAACTAATTGTTGTTCATAATCTCTATGTTATGTATTAAAGCCTTTAATCCAAATTCGAATCTTTATTGACCCTAGAAAAAATAGTCTACAGAATAATGTTATTTTGTTTGATAGTTTTAATTCATGGGTCTTATTTAGTCTGTTGAGAATGTTTGAGTCGGTGTAAATACTAACAAGCATAACTAAAATTGGTAGTGCATTAATTATTATAAGCTGTTATAAGTACTTACCTTATAACGTACAGAGTGACCAAGATTTTCAAAAAAGTGTCATATCAAGTTTCATAATTGAGATTTTCATTCCACACTTTATAAAATATGCGGGCAAACCTAGTGCATATTTTAAACTTAGTTAGCACAGGGGGATAACATATACATATACGGGATTATTCAAATAATAATTTTTGAAAAAGTGTCTGTATATTATTTTGCTCTGTTGATTGAAATTTTTTGTCATAATATATCTATACCGAGTTATATCTTGATATAACTATAGCACATCCAAGAAGAGGATACATGATGGTGACATTTCTGTCTATTATTTTAACTCACAGGTAAATTGTATTTCCTGTCACTTTTTGTATGTCTGCTGTCAAAATCTTCTCTGACTTGTTGGACAGATTTTACCTATTTGTCTTATTCTTACCCCAACAGACGTTTGTAAGATATTTAAATAAATAAAATATAGAAAATTCTACACCTAGAATGGGTATTTTGTTCACGAAGCAAAAACTATAAATTGTTCTAAAGAAATACAATCGTTGGTCGTTTCATCATTTCAGTCATATTTAAGTATGAGCTACCATCATTTGAAATAATCTAATTTTGAATCTAATTGAATTCAATCCATACAATCGAGGACACATTATGATGGATGCATGTAAACCAATATTTGTTATCAACTTGTTACCATTGTTTGCATATTTTATAGAAATTAATGGAGTGAGTAAATCTTAATTCCAAAATTAGAAAATTAGTGCGTAAAGTTTTCCAGAACAGTGGTTTACTCTATATGCTTTTTAGTTTCGGATGATCCCATTAGTAGTACCTCATCTGAAATGGATTCAAATAAAGCCAAGAAAGCTTCAAGTGAATTACAAAAACCAAATTTTGATGCAGAAGAAGATTTGCTAGATATATCAATATCAAATCAACCTGCTGAAAAAATTGAAGAGAATGTAGATGATTTAGTAAATGATCTGGAAACTTTGTTAGGGGAATCATCGGAATCATATAACTTATCTTTTAGAGGTGCCAAAGCTATTGAGCTAGAGAGTAAGTTATATTTTCCATGTTTTATTTGTTAATAGTATTTTATATATTGTTTTTAGAAATATCAGATGAAGAAGCCAGGAAGTCTCCCACAAAATGCTTACTAGAAGATGAAGTTTCCAGTAATACTACATCTAGCATTGGAAATAAACTCAATTCAGAATTAGATATTTTAACTTTAGATTGTGCAACTAATATTGAAACTCATAACTTGAAAGATAGCGATGAGGGTAGTAGTGAGAACATAGGAATAGAAGAAATCATATCTGACACGGTATCTCCATCAATGGAAGGAGTTACCAATGATTTGAAAGTTATATCTGATCCAAATATTGCAGATTTGAAAAGTGATTCTACGGAATCAAAAACTGAAAAATCATCAGAATGTTATGATGCAGATGATGTTGTTACACCACAAGTAAATGATAATTCAGTTAAATTAGAAGAACAAATTACTGACCAAACTGCTGACTTAAAAAGTATTGCACAAAATGTAGTTGAAGTGGTACATGAGTCAGCTGAGAATAAAATAGATATGAAGTGTGTCTCAAATGATGTAGATTCTAAACCAGCAGAGATTATTCCACCTACAGAAGGTGTATCTTCTGAAAAGGTTTTATGTTTGACAGACATTGTAGAGAAAGAAAGTATTGAGAATGAAAATGAGAAAGTTACAATTTTCTCAGATGATAAAAATTCTGAAATATCAGAAGTTATTGATGCAGATACAAAAGAGGAAGTTGTGAAAACTGATAATGATGAAGCTGTAGATGTTAATATAAGTAAAGTCAGTGATGATATTGAATTAACAAAGGTTAGTCATGTTGAAAATGACTTGGAGAATAATGAAAACAGTGCCACAAATGTGAAAAATGATGAAGCAAGTGAGAAAATCAATACATACGATGAAACTCCAGCATCAGATATTGAAAATATAGAAAAAACAACTGAAGTAAAAGATAATTTTGTCGATAATGATGAAGATGGTAGTCATGATAGAAAGATAGAACAAGGAGACAATAATGTTTCTGTGACTGAAGGTGGTAGTCCAAAACTTGTTCAAGATGAAGGGAATTCTAATGAAGCTGATGATAAATCCAATGATCAATACACCTTTAATATTGATGAAGAAAATTCTGAAGAGGAAGATAGTGGAACTAAAAAGAAAACTTCAGATAGTAAATCAGAGTCCTTACAAGATGAAAAAGAAATTAAAGAAGATTTACTTGATGCAGATGTAATACCTGACAAATTAGAAAATGAAGCATCAAAAGAGAAGTCCTTGCAGGATACTACTGAAATTTTGTCAGGAAATGTTGCATCACCTAATGTAGATACACCTTCTGAAGAATTAGATATTGAGCCATCAAATGCAAAGTTATCTGATACCAACGTAAATATGTCAGAAAATTTGGCACCAGACAATTCAGAATTAAAAGAAATGGAAACAGATGAAGTTGAAAATTATAAAGAGTCAGATACAAGTGATGCACTTAAACCATCAGAAGATAAGACAAACTTAAGTACTGATACTATTCAAATTGAAATGGAAAAGCAAGTTGAAAATGTTGATTATTCAAAGTCAGTGGAGTTATGTGAAACTGAAAAACATGATAATTTGTTCATAGAAGGTAAACCAGCTCAACTAGAACAAGTAGGAAAGTCAGTAGAGTTAAGTGAAGCACAGGGACTTGAGAATTCAGCCATGAAATGTGAAGAAACCATTGTTGCTACAGAATCAGCTCATCAAGAACCTGAGGAAAATCCTCAATCAGATATGACATCAAAAACAGCAGATCCTCCACAGTCTCTTAGTTCTCAATCTGAAGCAGATGATAATGCCATAGAAAATGAGAAGGATGCAGAAGCTGATACACTAGAAGCATCAAAAGTAGCAGATCCATCAAATTCTATTAGTTCTCAATCTGAAACAGATCTTAAAACCATAGAAAATGAGAAAGTTGCTGAAACTGATACACTAGAAGCATCAAAAGTAGTAGATCCTTCAAATTCTATTAGTTCTCAATCTGAAACAGATCTTAAAACCATAGAAAATGAGAAAGTTGCTGAAACTGATACACTAGAAGCATCAAAAGTAGTAGATTCTTCAAATTCTATTAGTTCTCAATCTGAAACAGATCCTAATACCATAGAAAATGAGAAAGTTGCGGAAGCTGATACACTAGATAAGGAGATAGAAATAAAAATAAATGAGGAAGAATCAGAAGCTATTAATTCAGAATCAGTTGAATTAGAACCCAAAGATAATTATGTTAAAGAGCAAAAATTAGTTAAACAAGATCGCATTAGTAAAGTAAGTGAAGAAGTCATAAAAAATGAGGATTTAGTTGATGCTAAGGATGATATGCCTATAATTCAAGAGAATCTTGAAGTTGAATCAGAAAGCACTCAAACTATGGAATTAGAAAAAGAATCTGTTTTGGAAAATACAGTTAAAAACCAAGAAGATATCAATGTTGATATTAAATCAGTTACAGCCTCATTGAAGAATCCATTGGAAGCAAAATCTTCAAAGGTTGCAGTTGTAGAAGCACAAAATTTAGAAAGTGAAATTATTGACAAATCTGAAAGTGAAACAGGAGTTTCTGCCCATCCAGAATTGCTTTCTCAAAAGCCTGTACCTATGGAACAAACACAAGATGATAATGATACAGAGAATGTAGAGAAAGCTGAAGTTGATATTAAAATTCCAGATTTATCTGAAACTGAAAATAAAGCATCTGAGACTAAAACAGAGCTTTCAGTTGAGTCAGAATTGCTTCCTCAAAAACCTGTACCTGATGAAGAAGAAAAACATGAAGATACTGAAAATGTAAAGACGAAAGAGGTCAATATCCAAAGTCAGAATGAAGTAGAAGCATTACCAAAAAAATTAGCACCTACAACATCAATATTTGATGAGAAAAAGACAATATCAGAAATTAATATACGAAGGAAAACAGTTGAGCAAGATTTAGAAAAAGTTGTTTGTCTAAGTGAAGAATCATCTGACTCGGATGCCTCTTCAGACGTGACACGGCAATTAAAGAAGAAGAACGAAGAATTAGCAGAAATAACAAATATAGATAATGCTGATGATTCTAAATCAGGTGAACAAGTTACTACTTCAGCAACAGCTGAACAAGAAGATGATGTTATTCATGATGTTCCACTTACTGAAGAATCTCTCCCTAACGAAGAAGAAATTGACTTGATTCAGATTGCTAAGGAAGTAGAGCAACTGCAAAACAATGAAGAAACAGAACCTATATCAGAAGTTCGTTCAGAAGAAAGTATGACTAGTATTGACGACTTGCTACCTCAGCAGTCTTTAACAAAAATTGAAGATACGTCAATTTTACCAGTAAATAAATTGCAAGCTAGCCAAGCAAAACAAGGTCAAGAAGATATAACCCTAAGCGATAAGGAACTTCGAGAAATTGAAGCAATTAGAGCTGCTGTAGCAAGCATAACTGATAGCTCACAAGATACTTATGACAGTTATATTGTTGAAAGTTCAGCGACACCAATTGATAATATAGCTGAAATATCAATGGAGCTTCCAGAATTATCTTGTGGCATTACTGAAATTGATTCGGGTAATTCTCAGAATGCCTCTGAGCCAATAATTATGGAAGAAACAGCAGCACTAACTATTAGCAGCATTTCGGAAATAAGTAACTCAGAAAAGACCCAAGAAGTAGGCTTATTAAAGAAGAGCAGTGATAGTAATGAAGTGAGTGTTGAAATCAAGCCGGAAATACAAACAGAAAAGCCATCAAGTCAGGAAGTTCAACAGATGCCAAACAGTTCAGGTGATGTAAGTGTCGATGTAACAGCTTCAGTTTCAAAAATCGACAGTGTAGAACAGAAGGACGAATCATTGTCAAAGGAAGATGACATTTCTGCAAAGGACGCCAAAAATAAGGAAAATGTGAGCGAAGAAATTTCAGAATCATCTAAAGTTACAGTAGAGGAAAATGAAGTTGTTGAGTCTGATACTTCATTAAATGACAAGTCGAAGAACAAAGGAAGGTAAATATATTTTATTATACAAGGTATGCCAAAAAGTTTGAAAGAAATAAGAACATTCTTTTTATTTTTAAGTTACTAAAGAAAAGTTGTGCTGAATTTCTTTAGCACTTCCAATAACTAAATAAATAATTTTGACATGTCACTTGTTATGGCGGGAAATTATAAAAATTCCATTATCCTTATTTTTTATTGTTGTCAGTTTTTTTAGATCAGTCGACAAGTGGTTTTAGGTGGAAATAATTAGGGGCAAGCTGCAATAACACTTATTCTCTTTGTTTTGCTTTGTTGAATACTCTACTAAATTTGCACGGTCTATCGATCCCGGATTTGGTCGCCATATTGGAAAATACTGTCAAATTATGAAATTTTTATGTTTTTTTTCTAAATAACTCGGTCTGGGTGCACTGTACAGAAAAATTGAAAGAGACCTAAAAGAAAGCTATTTAAATTATCTACAAAAAAGATCCTATTCACCGATTTCGTGGATGAACAGGTTAATGAGATACAGGCGCTTAAATACAAAGCATATATTTTCTTGTGGTTCATTTAATATGAGAAACTGATTCTATGTAAATTTGAATAATTTGCCAGTACAAATTTATGTTTTTCTTGTGCTCGTTTCCACACTACCTGGCGGTAGAGCACTCGGCGCACTTTTTTTTAAGTGGTTTCCCCTATAGGCCTAATCCTTATCTTTGTGTCTTACTTCGGAATCTGGAACTGGCCATCCTTTTTCAACAAAATTGATCTTTGGAGTTTTTCTTGTTTATCAAACGGTTGGCGAGAAAAAAATAAATATACTTATTAAGAGCTCGCCTTAAGCCGTTTTCTAAGGATTTTTTATTTTTTATATTAATAGGAAACATCCTGTATATGCATATCACAGGCAACCAAATAAACTAGTAACCTCTAAAAATTATTTTTCCTACCACTAGCGACATACCGTGTTTTTAGTGAGTACTAAATTATTTTATCAAAATTTCACCATATAAGTTTCCAGGCAATGGCTATAAGGCCGTCGACGAGCCGTCGATCCAAAACCGAAAGTTAAAAATTTCTAATTATATTCTGATTATGATATTGTCGCACCATCTAGTATTCTATTTGTGCAATTTTAGCTCTTTCATTTTGAGTATTTTTCTGTTGCGTAGCTAGATATTCTGTGCTATTAGCAATAAGTATTAAATTAACTGTTTCTTATAGGAAAGTAACAAAAGTAAATGAACCTTTATCCATCAACGTCGATGAAGGAGAGCGTGAAAAGGTTTATAGTCCTAAGATTACTATTAAACCGCTCAAGGTTCCTGATGATGAAGTGAGCACTACTTCAGATGCAGAGGTATGGTATATTTTTGCTACGACGTTTGCTACTTTTTTTAGTAGTTATTTTTTTTTTTTTCTTGGATAGGAGCTGTGGCTAATCTTTTTAACCATATCCGTGTATTTATACAGTAATTATTAATAAATCATTAATTTATTTTAGATTAATAAAGGCAGCTTAAAAATGACCATTACTAAACAATCAGATAAAATGCATTCTATTCTCAAGGTTTTTAATCCTGAAGATAATTCTGAATTAGAAACCAATCATGAGGAGCCAATTCCAAAACTCATCATTAAACCAAAAGCACAGGTAATGAATGAATAAATAATAAGTATTTTTAAAAAATCCTAATTTATAATATTGGTTTAAAAGAATAGTTACTACTTAATGTTTTTAGTTCAGATAGTAACTCCTTTTTTTGATATGTAGATATTTATTTAGTTGTAAATGATTGCTTTGAGATATTAGGTTTTATTTATCTACTATCTATACTTATCCCTTTCTGTGTTTGCTATAAATGGAAGAGGTTTTTATTATTATATCATGCACTTATTATTATTAAACGATTTTTGGGGAATTAATTCAGCATGTCCAATAGTAAAAAAAATAATTTTGATATAAATATGCATGCATGTTTTATATTAACTGTCATAGCTGAAATTTGCAATGCCCATTGTGAGAGATGACAGATCATTGAGAGAAGGGACGATTTCGACAGACAACATTTGACAGAAAAATAATAGTTTAAAATGACAGATGATAACTGTCACTGTCATCAGTGAAGTGCAGTGCAAATCATAGCAAATTGTCAAAAATTGACAAAATAATAACAGCATAAGTAATTAAATAAATAACCTATAACAATGGGGAACATTTTTCAAATTTGGGCGTCATGCGTCATCGCGCAGCACAGAGGTCGACGTCGACGAAATTAAATCACGCGTTATTTCCATATTTTATCTCCTTCTTGTCCATTAGGCTTCTATTGACTGCTGCCTGCAGAGTAGTTAGTTAGTTAGTTTATTTATTAGTAATAACATACAAGAGAAGTATTTTTACAAGTCAAAAAAAAAATATATATATAAAATTCTAAAAATTGATAAAAATTTAGTTTCTACAGTTTTTTTTGTTGTTTTTACATTGCATCATTAATACACAAATTTTATATAATAAAATGTATACAATTAACCAATAGAAAATCATTAAAACCTTAAAATTAAAACAAATATGTATGTAAAATATATGTTATAAATGAACAGATACAACACACAAACACTAACATAGACAAAACAAATGAAATCACAGACTAAAGCTGGAATTGAAGTACTCCTCAAAAGAAAAAAATGCATTAATCACAAGGTAGTTTTTGATTTCTGTTTTGTACTGATTAAAATTAAGAGCCTTAATTCTAGCTGGTACCAGGTTATAAAACTTTATGCTCAAATATCTTGAACCATTCTTGGATCTCTCAAGCCGGCAAAAGTCCGGTACAAGATTGCTTTGAGATATTAGGTTTTATTTATCTACTATCTATACTTATCCCTTTCTGTGTTTGCTATAAATGGAAGAGGTTTTTATTATTATATCATGCACTTATTATTATTAAACGATTTTTGGGGAATTAATTCAGCATGTCCAATAGTAAAAAAATAATTTTGATATAAATATGCATGCATGTTTTATATTAACTGTCATAGCTGAAATTTGCAATGCCCATTGTGAGAGATGACAGATCATTGAGAGAGAAGGACGATTTCGACAGACAACATTTGACAGAAAAATAATAGTTTAAAATGACAGATGATAACTGTCACTGTCATCAGTGAAGTGCAGTGCAAATCGGGCTAACAGTTTTCCACGACCCCGAATCCTCTATATTATCCGTTTTATTTAGGAAAAAGTTTTGTTCTTGTTTTGACTTTTTAGATACGTCATTGTTGCTGTCAGAATAGACGTTATTGACATTGACATGCAGTGTTGCCACATGATCAGAATTGGATTGATTACTTTCATTTTCTTCTTTTTTATTGGCTAAGTCCAGGTCGTGTGTCAATTTGATTACGTCACACCGAGTTTTTGGCGCGATGTTTTCTAGCTTCCTAGTACGTGAAAGATTCAAAAAGGCACAGCTTTTATCATTCCATTAGATACAATATTATATACCGTGCTGGCAACTGCTACTTTTGGGTCGGTATTTACATGTGTGGAAGTAAATCGCATAGGGATCTTATTAAGTCGGAGTGAGAGAAATGCGACGGTGTGCTTGAGGCGTCGTCGGTACACCTTTCCCTACCAAGTAAAGTAAAGTCACGATCGCAAACCGCTTATTTTTAAAAGACTTTTTGTTCGAAAAGATAACTAGATAAAATAATTAGATATGTTTCTGAGCATCTGAAATGGAATTATAAGGATATCGTTAGGTTATCCATTTTTATATAACGAGAAAACGTCAGTAATCACGATAATTTAACACCTAAACTTTTTAACACATAACACGCCATAACTTAAGAAGCACTTTATATAATGAAACTTTTTATTTTGAAAATTGGATATTTTACAATATGTTTAAATAAGAAAACATCGATAAGGTTTTTTTTTTCCATTCAAAAATTTTAAGCAACCCATTCATTTACTTTTAGTACATAGCAATCGTGTAACTTTTTTATTCATAAAGATTTTTACATATTGTCTGCAAAGAAAATATAGCAGAAATAAGAAGAAAGTTTTTGAAAAAAACCACAATCAATTATTTCTAATGGATTTCGAGATATCGATTTTTGAATTCAGAGTTGTAATAGCGCGACCACTGTCGAACACCAAACTCAATTCCACTTATTTTTACCAAAAATGCAAGTATTTCTAACTTGCACTTAAAAATTTTCAAGCTATATAGAAAATTACAACGACTCGTTAATAAATAAACAAATAAAGTATCACGAGGCGTAATTAAATCGTGAAGCTGAACGCATGATGTACACTTTTCCTTAGAACTTTAAGTACTGACAGAGGTACTGATAGGGTCGACCGGTCGACTGTGACAAATCTGCTCTATTCCCTTCCACGTCTCTTAGCAATGTGCACAGTTTCTTGGGTTATTTTATACGTTGGCAACGTGTTTACTGGTTCTCTCTTTGTTCAGTACATCATAAACGCATTGTGCTCTTCTTACATACGGAAATCTCGACCCAAGACTAACTTTGCCAGCCATTAGTATATACATATATAGTATTTGCGCGATAACGGCAGTAGTGGGATGTTATTTAAATATATCTTAGGAAAAAAATCTTCTGTCTTGAGCCGGGTCACCTCAAGAAAAGCAATGGTCTTTCAAATAGTGCCTATGTGACAAACTGAAACACTGAAACTTGTTAAACACTGATGACACACATCACGAGTACATGCGAGAGGTAGCCGACGCTCTGGATAGAGTATGGCACTGTAAGAAGACTAGATTCAATAATTTGCTGCTTCAGTTTTTCCTTAAGTCAATAAATGATAAAAAATCAATAATAAGAGACCCAGATTTTTCCGCACAATGACAGTAGAACCATGAAATGTCAGAATATTTTTTTTGCTATTAGGCAAGCAGAATTGATTACGCGTAAACATTTTTTCCAAAAAAACTTTTTTTTTCCATTTGTTCTAAACTTTTTTGCACCAGCCTTATAAATTCTATATTTAGACTGATCAGCAGCATAGTCCAAAGATAACCCGTAGTGCAAAAGTCTATTCCCCAACAAGTACACAGAGATGCGCAAGTCCGAGAATAACTATCAAACCTGTTGTAAAGCCTGCTGAAAGCAAAAGTGAAGCTCTAAGCCCATTAAAAATTACTTTCAAACCTGTAGTGAAACCGGAAGATGTATCTAAAAGACAAAGTCCTAAAGTATGTAAGGCAGGTAACTCACGAGACTTTAACTAAATAGCGTCTATATATTTTTTAGTCTTTAAAGGAACCAGATTTGAAGAACCACAATCCAAAAATCACGATAAAGCCAATTCAAAAGCCTTCAGAGCAAGAGAAAGATGATGTCGCTCCGTCAACGCCGAAGGTTACTATTAAACCAGTGAAAAGACATATTGAGGAAACTGATTTGGATGAAGAAAGATCAAGTCCAAAAATTACAATCAAGCCTTTGGTAAGTAAATTTAATTTAAATAAATTGCTTTATTTAACTGATTTTGATTATTGGATTTTCAAAAAAACTTGCCTTCAATTTCTATTCCTGTCTATATTTGAGTGTGTTTACAAGCCAAAACTAAAAATAAATAAATTCTCTAAACCCCAAAAAAAAAACTAAAATATTACTCTAAATAAGAAAAAGTTATAACAAGTATTCAAAAAGACCATCTTCTTGTGCTAGACAGAAGCCTAGGCGGTCGTAAAATCCCCGTCTGACATTGGCTAACATATTAGGGCTAATAGTTTGGAAAGCCTCTCGTATTTTTACTTGAAGCTCATCCAGGTTATTAGCCCTATTATGACCATACACTTTGGATTTTACATAACCCCACAAAAATTAGTCATTGGGAGAAAGATCTGGTGATCTAGCGGGCCACAAAATAGTTCCGTATCCACTAATTAAACGGTTGGGAAAAGTATTGTTCAAATATTCATGTTTTTGTGGGAACACGCACTCATGTGTTTCAAAATTATTAATAACTCTTGATACAGTAGGTAAAGATGGAATTGACCTGTTTACAAAAATTGTATATTCCGATAAGACCTATTTTGGAAATACCATTTTACAATTTGAATTTTCTCACGAACTTCGTAAACATCCATTATTTTACTTAAAAAATAAATTTTACACGAGAACTGTCGCGAGAATCTATGTATTCGTTTAGGCTATTAAAACACGAATAAATACAAATTCTGAAACATTCTTATCACATATCTACCTATTTTTATTTTATCGCATTTTTTCGCCTGCTTTTTATCCGGCGGGCGGGTATACGCTAATTCGTCCGGTTCTGCCTATGTTACTACTACGGTGGTCCGGTCTGTATACGATTAAAACCGTTAATATTCCGGTCTTTAGGTGAGACCAACTGAAGATGTCGAACAATCGGGCCCGACAACGCCTAGGCTCATTATAAAACCAATTAAAAAACAAGAAGATGAGGCGGATCAAGGCAGGTCTAGTCCAAAAATATCGATCAAACCGATAGTTAAGCATCCAGAATCGGAAATTGACGATGAGGAGGTCAAGGAAAGGATCGTATTAAAAATTAATAAGGGAAATTTACCCACTCCTGTAAAGGACAAGAAGAGGGAACATCCGGACGAAGAAAAGACGGGAAAAATTAAACTTAAATTTTTGACAAGCGGAGGTCACACGCATATCGTTCAAGACGGCGAAGAGAGTAACAAGCGTCAGAAGAAAGATGTTGTCTATGCTGCAAGTTTAACTGGTAAGATACACATTCATAAATTATTTAACGTTTTATTTAATAGTAATACTGCATTTATAAGTGTATGTTTAGTAAGAAAATATACAGGGTGTTCCGAACTGTATTCCGGATACTTCGGCAGCATATTCTGCAGATAAAAATAAGTAAAAAAGTTCGTATAAATGTATCTCCCAAAATGCTTCGTTTCGGATATACAGGGTGAAGAAATTTCATTTTTATTTCGATTTTTTTCCAAATAATTTATGAAGTAACGTCAATATTTGGACGAAAATTGCTATATGGAAGTTTTTTGTTATGAGAAATTTGATTTTGATGTTAATAAAATTCCTTCTTGTAGAAGGCGCCACCTACATATTTTTTAACTGGTTTGAAGAGTAATAACTTTTCGTGTATACCTGTATAAAACTACCTAGTAAAAAAATATTCATTCACATTTTTTACGTAAAAAGGGTCTCTTGGTAAAAATCGTTATGAGTAATGGTTCTCGAGATATTTGGAATCTAAATTATCAAAACCTATCATCATTGACATAAATTAAACATGTTGACTAAATAGTTATTAGACTGAAATCATAAATTTGAAATATTTTTGTGTCAAAAGTTCAACAGAAACTTTTTTATCATCATTTTTTCGCAGAAAAATTTATGATTAATTTAAAAAAACAAAAATTTCCCAAATTTATATTTTCAGTCAAATAACTATCTACTCAACGTATTTATTTTTTGTCAATAATGACATGTATTGACTATTTCCATTCTAAATATCTTGAGAATGGTTGTTCGTAGCGATTTTTACCAAGAGACATTTTTTATGTAAAAAGTCACGGAATGTATATTTTTTCACTCAGTAGTTTTATACAGGTACGGACGAAAAGTTATTACTCTTCAAAACAGTTAAAACACATGTAGGTGGCGCCCCCTACAAATAGGAGTCATATTGACATCAAAATCAAATTCCTTATGTCAAAAAACTTCCAGACACTAATTTTTATCCAAATATTGACCATACATCATAAATTATTTGGAAAAAATCGACATAAAAATGAAACTTCTACACCCTGTATCTCCGAAACTAAGCATTTTAGGACATACATTTATACAAACTTTTTTACTTATTTTTATCTGCAGAATATGTCGCCGAAGTTTCCGGAATAAAATTCGGACCATCCTGTATATATTTTCGGTAGATTAGGCTATACTTCTGAAACAATCAAGACAATTAATATTTGTATAGGAACCAAGAACGTCGAGGAATCATCCAATAAAAGATTGTCAGAGGAACGACAGCCAGAGAAAAATAAACGGCTAAGAAGTTCTATAACTCCAGAGAAGGATGTGAGAGAACAAAAGTTAAACTCTCCTATTGTCATAAACGATGACTCCAGGTAAGTTATAATCAATAATATTATACTGAAAGTATAGTCTGTTCGGCGAGAGAAGTTTTTGTTTTTGTCTAGGTCAGTATATTATATTGGTTAATGTTTATATCTTCAGTAGGTCTCAGAACAGTTCCGACTCGATCGGCATACAAAATACATCTGCTGCAACTCCAGACATTTCCAAAATATCTGAGTTGGCTTCACGGACGACTCACATTGAAGCTTCCCCTGTTCTGACGGTGGGCGTTGCCACTCCAACTTCCATGCCTAAAAAACGGGGCAGACCAAGGAAGGTAATCTATTTTATTTTTTCTGTTCCGTTTTTTTTAAATAATAAAATTTTCTTATGTAATGTTATTCCTATTAATGTAAAAGTTAAACATTGATAAAAATGTCATATACAATGTTCCCATTGTTGAATTAAAATCATCTCTGCCAGAGGTAACTGCCAACAAACAATAGCAATATGACATTTCAATTGCAGTGGTGTTACAAAGCACTATTTCCAAAAAAATCCTGCATGGGTATAATAGTTTTTTTCTTTCTTCTTTGTATTTTTTTGCTTCCGACGCGACGACGGAAAGAGATAACTTTTCGAAACGTTAAGCATTTTTTTTGCTTTGTTAGGCAAATTTGTATTAATGTAAACATAACTTCTGACAAGCAGCGTCCGTTTAGTGCAGTGGCGAAATACCCATACAGGATTTTTTTGGAAAGATGAATCCGCCACATAGGTATAGACATTTTTTAAAGCACTATTTCGTAGGTTTGTTGATTAGGACTGAAAGCAAATATACAGGGTGACAATTTGAAAACGAACAGTATTTAATATTACCTCTACCGATGATAGTATGAAAATTTGGCGAAATACGTCAATTTACATATCAAGGGGGACAATTTTTGAGGGACTTGTAGTCGTGTTACTTTCAACCCTTTGACCCCCAGGGCACCTACCCCTAAAATTTTAAATGGCAACCCCTATTTCTTTTACCATTTTTGTGTTTTACCATACTTATTTTCTTAAACCACTCCACAGGGTGATTCATACTTTCTCCAAAATGGCAACATTTTGTTTTCCTTTGTATAATAGACAGATGGGGACTTTAATTCTTAATTTAAAAGAGGCCAAAAAATTTAGCATAAAATGCTTAAAAAATTATCAAAATCGACCCACTAAAACAAAATATTATTGAACTTTAATGAATGCCGTCTCTAACTATAGACGGCATTCAAGCGACAAAAATTTTCATTGAATGACGCTGTTTTATTATACAGGGTGATTTACGGCTATGGCACGTTAGCCGTTTATGGAGAACTGCTGATTACAGTGTTGCCGCTTCATACTAAAAGTGATAACATCTTTGTTACTTTAATTGGAACACCTGGTATATCATTACATTTTTCGAAACTACTTTCATATCTCATCATTTTTCTATTACATTACCCTATACCTATCTGTAATTATTCTCGAGGTAAAAAATAAACGGAAATAAATATTTTTTGCTTTCCCTGTGTAAAATACAATTGGTCGGTTTAGACAGATAGAATATACCGACGTTCGTTAATTTATAATCCAAATTTCAACTGTTAAAATGTTCAATTTATGATCTTATCAATGCTTATTCAAGATCATATTTTTGTCAATTTTACACATATTATATTTATTATCTAGATAGGTATAGGTTAGTACAGTGTTCCATTTAAAAGAAGAAATATGCTACGACTTGATAAATGATGCGGCAACATTGTACCGCTGAATATATTTTAGATAGATGGAGCAGGTGCCTTTGTGTAAAAATCCAAATTTTCAAAAAAATCTTATCTCCGGTTCTCCATAAACGTCTAACGTACCATGGTCGTGAATCACCCTGTAGATGGTTTTAACATTGAACATGATAAGTTTAGTGTGATTGTCTATACAACATTAGACACTATATAATTATAAACTTTTTTTCCGATTTAGCTGAAATTTTGAATGCGCGTATAAGTAATTTAAAAAAAAATGAAGAAACACATTACTAAAAATTGTATTAATCAATAATAAATATGTAAAAAGTAAAAATAAATATGTAAAAATTAAAAAAAAAACGATTGAAAAAAATCGCCTTGACTAGGATTCGAACCTGCCTTACTTCGGCTCCAACGGCATAGCAGCGTAAAGTCCTAACGCTTTAAACCACGCGGCCACCGAGGATTTGAAAGATTCTATGTAAAATTCTTACTTAAAAGATAATGTTTAGTGAAAATACTTTTTAATTTATAAACATTTATTTAATTCTGTTTTTAGTATTTGTTCTTATAGCGGCAACATAGATACATTATCTGTAAAAAAATTAACTGTCTAGCTATAGCCGTTCATAAGATAGAGCTTTGTGACAGACGGACGGACGGACAGCGAAGTCTTAGCCCGCGGTTACATTGGACGCGGGTCCGTGCGTTTTTTTTTATACGTGCGAGCTCTGACGGTATTTACTCGTACGACGGTACGACGTGCGAGCTCTGACGGTATTTTATTATAGTGGTTACATTAGAGGCGCGTTCAACCGGTAAAATTTTTTGAATATTTTAAAATGTTTCCAGCAACACTAATATATCTAAAATAAAAATAAACCTTGGTATTCAAAAATATTCAAATTTTTAGGGAATGTATTGTGCCCAGAGATATAAAAATTCGAACGCTCGGACGTGCACGTATTAGAAAAACAAACCAGTTTGTTTTCATCCGACCAAATTGACGTACGTGCACGGACGCGCAAACTCCGATGCAATGTAACCGCCTGAGTAGATACCATTTGTTTGTTTTTTGCTGCGTCCACGTCCGAGCACGTACGACCAAAAGAACGCACGGACACGCATCCAATGTAACCACGGGCTTAGTAATAGGGTTCCCGTTTTTACCCTTTGGGTACGGAACCCTAAAAAAAATAAAATGGTATTTTCTTATGGAACAAATAAAATATAACTACTTATCTAATTCGTTTAGCAACTATGGATTTTAAAGTAGATTTGTCTTAGGTTCCACTCGAAATTCGACCTGAACTAACGGATTCGTTAGGAACACAATCTTCACCAGATACTAGCACTGGCCCTTCGCCATCATCGACACCTGAAGGCGTTACTACTTCTGGAGGTCGTCCAAAAAGAAGCTGCAGAGGTTTGTTGTTTTTTATTATTACTGGCTTTTTAGAGAAATAATTCTATTAATTTTAAGAAGCATAATATGCTTTTTCTTTTTTGAATATTTCCATTTTTCACATACTAAACTAATAAAGTATCCAGAGCAAAACATAATAATGTTACTCAAGCTTGCTTCACCTACGTAACCGTAGATGGAGCTAAAGGCAAATTGGGGGTCTATATAAAATAAAAATAGCAAGCTTGTATGTTCCAGTAGGCCGTTGGTTTTATTAGATGGCGTGGTCGTCTAGACCTCGTCATTGTAGTAGTACCTTTGGTACCCAAGTGCTATTTCTGCTTTTTGTTTATCAGATTGAAGGATCCAGCAAAGTTGGCCTCCCAACTCGGATAAATCTTCATAAAAAAATCTTCATAGAAAATTCGTCATAAACATTTATTTAATCTTACTCTTATTCACAAAGGCGCCATTGTATCAAGCATGTTTAAGCTATAATACTCTTACGGTACATCCAGGCTGAGAGCGTCACGTCCCGTTAGCGTCGCGTCCGGTCGTTCATGCTGGAAGCGCCAGCGCAGCTTCATATGAGCTTGTTCCTTAGGTTTTCTGTTTGTAAAATGGCTTCAAGGAGAGCCGTTTAATGTTACTATTGGAAACACCATATTTTACATTCAAAAGAATGGACAAAAAAGTAGGAATTCACCCTATAAACAGAAGATATAATTATGGAAGATATCTGCATGGAGAATTTCATCATTTATATTTTGAAATGAGAGAACATCCTGATCGATTTTTCAACTATATGAGAATGCCCATTTCAACATTTGATTACTTACTTAGTAAGGTGCAAAGTAGGTTGAAAAAGAACTTACTAATTATCAGAAAAACTCATATATTTCATCTGCCTAGGGAGAATTAAAAACGACTCTAATTGATCCTTTTCAATTGTGATACTTTTAGCGGGTATACAAAGAAATTTCGAAAGCTCTCATATATTTACCCGTACTGTGAAAAAATATAGAAATACCTAAAATTGTGGCTATTTTTTTAAGTAGCCGATCACGCAGATTTCTGTTTCTATATTGTGGCAATTTTGTATTTCATAATGCAGGTCTTGCCTGTATTTCGGCGATTAGCACCTCTGCGTGCTAGTCCTCAGACGCCTTGACAACCACTGAACGCTAGAAATCTCGCCAAAAACTTAATTCAGATTGAACTCGACGCTCGACGCTCAGCGGACGCTAGCGCAATGCCGAACGCGATGCTTTCTGCCTAAACTGGACGGGACTAAAGCGGACGCGACGCTCGTCGCTCTCAGCCTGAATGTACCTTTATACTATCTTCCGATGAATTAGATATATTTAACATTTCTGCCGCAAGTTTCAAGAATAAAATTAAGCGGTTGCTGTCTGGGACATCTGAGTGAGATCTATTCAGCTCCTTAGTTAAGAGTTCATTTCACTAGTCCGAAAAAGTAGCAAAATAAGCGTTCGGTATTTAACATTTTATGTAAAACTGGCTATGTATTTTTACACAAATGAAGAAGGAAATTAAAGATAAAGGATTATACTATATCGGCATTGTTGCACATTTTTAGACAACTTCTTTATTTTTAAGATTTTGATGGTCAAACATCAACAAAATAGTCCTTATGTTTGGACTAAATTTTCTCGAAAATAAAGACATAGTTTAAAATTTCGTTACAATACGGAAATAGGTTGAAGTTTTGTGATTACAGTGATATATAATTTATATGGTTGTGTAACAAATTGCTCACTATTTTATAGCAAACGCTGAAGCTCTGCAAACCTTAATCAAGCCTTAATCAAAGCACGTGTGTTTGGAATTTTGAGTGTGGCTTAACACGACAGGATCGGGCAGGTTTCCGAAATATAATATATTTCCTTCGCCACACACCCGCTTTACCCGACCCCGGAGAGTGACCCGAACAGTACAGCGTAATAGACTCTTAAAGTCGTAAAAGTACTGCCACCATTACAAGATCGATCGTTCGAATGAATTTTCCGTATGATTTCGAATTTTTCTTTGTTTAAACTATTTACTATATTACTTTATTATTTATAATTGTCTATTGAGATCCTGTAATCCTGTCAGACAGTAAAAATAGGTATTAATATTATTATTATAATGTTTTTTTTTTATTTTTCAGGTCAAGGTGTTATCGCTACGCTGGGTATCAAACCCAGGAAACCAAGAGGAAGGGGCAGGGGTAGCAAAGTGAATATGGGCGATAGAATGCCGGTGGTCGAACCAGTAACGCCGGTGGTTGAACCAGTAACGCCGGTGGCGGAACCAGAAACGTCCGTATCGCCCACTCCAATCGAATCGACTCCTGTTAAACCCGAAAAGGTAGGTGATTGCTTATTTTTGTTAAAATTTTTTGGGTTGACAGAACTTTGATTGTTTTTTATCGGGTTATTTTTTGATATTCGTTTGATTTAATATGAATTTTTGTCCAAAATTTATATTCGACATTTTTTATATAACAATTCGTAGATTATAGTATATCTCCACATCACGATTGTTGTTTTGCCTATCGTCTAACAAATTGATGGTAACCTTCATTTCCTCTTAAGGTGGATTTTTATACGTCTGATATTCGACGATACAATATTAATTTTATTAAATTCACGACACGTGTCACTGTGACAGTTAGTTTTGGCGTAAGAAACGTCAAAAGTTGATGTCGTCCGATCGCGATGGGTAAGCTATGTGAGCGACGGTGTACACGGTCCCACCCTGCAATGTTGGATACAACGTTTCGTTTACCTCTTCATCAGGGTGGGACTAAGGATTGGATATTGAAGAAAAATGTGGGCCGATTTCGGCATAATAACAGAACCCTAAAAATATGTTTTGCCAAAACTCTCCATTAGTTTCTTCCGGACTCCCAGGTGGCTCTTAATGACCGATTTATTTGTTTTATTTAAGTGTCCCATCTATCTCTAGTACATGACATTAGTACAGGGTGGCCCATCGAAAACGTTCCGCAAGGCATAACGGCCAGGGTAATTTTTTTTTCAGAAAATTCAAAAACACGTCAATTTTGTTTGTGAGGGGGACATCTTTTGCCCCAAAAATGATTGCAAAATCTTAAGCGGGGGTGTCATCCCCCAACTTTTTTCAAATGGGAAGGGTGGTCAAGTGGTACCGGAATGAAAAGGGCTTTTTATTCTCTATACTTTACCGCTTCGTTTTTGAAAATCGGTCGAGTTATTGAGAAAATATGAAGGATTGAAATTTGAAAGGAGTTTATTTATACATTTATCAGAGTAAATGATAAGGTTAAATTCCTTCGACCAATTTGCTGTTTTTTCTTATTATTTCTAGATGTTTACGCATTTTTTCACTTGCCACAAGGTTGAACGATCAGGTGCGGCAGTTGCTAGATAGCTGTTCTGTGACTTGTGCGTTGAAGTTCTTCTCAATATCGTTAAACTTTTTAACAATTATGGTGTACTCACTTGCAGAAAAAGTGGAAATAATCGAACTTTATTTTAAAAATAATGAATGTAGCAATCGGGTTCCGCAGATATTCAATGAATGCCAATCTGAAAAACACCTTTATGGCAAAATTGTTCGCGAGTTAGTAGCAAAATTTTGCGAAACTGGTTCCGTTATGAATAAAAAGAGGCAGAGGGAAAACCGTGTAGTAAATGAAGCTATGGAGGTATTCGTATTGGGCCAAGTTGCCATGGATAGTACGCTGAGTACAAGAAAATTAGCCAATGCAAAATTAGCCGGCGTGAATCGTACCAGTGTCTAAAGGATATTAGAAAAACACAAGTTCCACCCGTACAAAATTCAGTTGGTACAAGAACTCAACGAAGACGATTTTGATCGTCGCTTGCAATTTTGTGAAACTGTGAGTGAACGAGTGGCGAATGATAATAATTTCCTATTTAATGTGTGTTTTTCGGATGAGTGTACTTTCTTTTTGAACGGTGTAGTTAATCGGCATAACTGTCGGTACTGGGCTGAGCGGTTTTTCACGAGGTGCACACACAAAACCGTCAGAAATTGAACGTGTGGGCTGGTATTTCTGAAAATTCTATTTTGGGTCAGTTTAACGATATTGAGAAGAACTTCAACGCACAAGTCAGAGAACAGCTATCTAGCAACTGCCGCACCTGATCGTTCAACCTTGTGGCAAGTGAAAAAATGCGTAAACATCTAGAAATAATAAGAAAAAACAGCAAATTGGTCGAAGGAATTTATCCTTATCATTTACTCTGATAAATGTTTAAATAAACTTTTCAAATTTCAATCCTTCATATTTTCTCAATGACTCGACCGATTTTCAAAAACGAAGCGGGAAAGTATAGAGAATAAAAAGCCCTTTTGATTGCGGTACCACTTGACCCCCCTTCCCGTTTGAAAAAAGTTGGGGGATGACACCCCCGCTTAGAGGGTTGAAGATCTTGCAATCATTTTTGGGGCAAAAGTTGTCCCCCTCACAAACAAAATTGACGTGTTTTTGGATTTAAAAAAAAAATATCCTGGCCGTTATGCCTTGCGGAACGTTTTCGATGGGTCACCCTGTATATGTTTAATATATTGTTGTCAATGGAGTAGTCAGAAGAATGTATCTTTTAAATTTAGTGGAAACGTTTTTTAGGCGACGAAATTATTGAAAACATTTTCAAGACATTATTTCAAAAGTTCTCAGAGACATATTTTAAAAAAGAAAAAACGGGTCTCGCGAACGGAAATTAGTGCTAAACTCTCGTCTTTTACTCGTTCCGTGAAAGTCTCGTTCTCGTCTCGTTTTCGTCTGGTTCTCGTCTCGTCATATCTGTACACAGCTTAATATTACAAACGTGTAAACAAAAGTCCGACTGCATTTAAGCGCAAGTCGTACATCAATGCAATACATTACAATTTGCAATAAATATTGCAAATGTGAAATAGAGTTATATTGGAATCATTTGCTTAACTACTTTTTTAGGGATGAAATAAAATATATGAATGGACTGGTATACTTTGGTATTTATGAGCTATATTGTCTCTTCAAAAAGCTAAAAAAAAGATGCGCACGTCAAATTTTATGTAAAAAACAATCAAAGTTATCTGTTACTAACAGGAAATTTATTGGGTGTTTTCTTTTCTCTTCTCAGGTTAAAAATAAAAGTAAAAAGAAAAAGAAAAAAAGTCGTCGCAGGTCGAAATCGAATTAAATCGAGATAAAAAAAAGTCATAGATTGGTCTCGAATAAAATTTGGCGTAATGTGGGTGTGTGCTTATAGTGAATTTTTTTTCTACATTGTACTGTGTATATACTGTATATAAGGGAAAAAATATGAAGCCGAAAGAAAGACTATATCGTATTATAGACCATGATTTCCAAAATTCATGTTTATATAGAGCACATAAAATGTGTGCAATATTTAGATTATCTTTTGAATTGAAATTTCACGGCAAAATTTTTGTAAATTTTACAAGGAAAAAAGGTATTTATAAAAACAATTAATTTTAAGTACAAATTAATAAAGTGTTTCCAAATTTGATCTCATATCGAAATCTCTGCTGCGTTGTTGATTATTATATATTTTTAATTTGGAAACTTGTAGTTTTTTGCTGTAAAGTTTCATATTCATGTTTATTTACTTGTTGTAGACAAATATTTAACATAAAATATATTATATATATTATATTTCTTAAGTATTATTTAAAGTAAAGTGACTTACAAAGAAATGTTGACATTAATAATAATACTAGCTTTTATGTTAACGTATGTATAACTGGATTTCTGTTATTGCCTAGTAGATGTGTCAATGTATCATAGAACCTTACAATTTTATTTTATATATTTTTATAGTTTCTTTGTGCAGCACAAAGTTTTTTTACGAGTTTGGATTTTGTTTTATATTTTTAGTTCAAAATTAATATTTTTCTACCTAAACAGAGTATCTAAATAAATGTTATTATTTTCAGGACCACATTGTTTTTATTAAAATGGAAATCTTTTTTAAGAAAACCCCATATATCTGAACATTATTTGCTAAAATTCGAAAAAAATCAATTTTCGTTTCTTATAAGGTATAAAGAATATTAGCAACAAAATTATTATTATTATTATTATTATTAAGGAAAACTTCTTTACGCGCCTTGGAAGTAAAAAATTCAAGGCCGTGACACAAGAGCTAGCGTCACGACATGCATCACGAAAAGTGGTAACGATCGAAAAGGTGTTAAGCTAATGAGGAAGTTGAGAGGGGTCTTTGGAGCTTCGTAACTCGGGACCTATGTGAGCTAGAGGGCTGAAACTCGGAATGTAGTTGGGGTTCGAAGAACCCCATCTCTTTATGACATTTTGACCACGTTTCGTAGGCACTATGAAACCGCATCATCAGTGGCGAAAAAATTGTCCGATTTAAATGAAATTTGGTACGTTAATAGATTGGACCAAGGCCAACTTAACCGTGTACGACACGTGTCACTGTGACAGTTAGTTTTGGCGTAAGAAGCGTCAAAAGTTGATGTCGTCCGATCGCGATGGGTAAGCTATGTGAGCGACGGTGTACACGGTCCCACCCTGCAATGTTGGATACAACGTTTCGTTTACCTCTTCATCAGGGTGGGACTAAGGATTGGATATTGAAGAAAAATGTGGGCCGATTTCGGCATAATTGGGGACGGCCTACAGGAGGACGCCTTCGACTTTTCGAACCGATTACTCTGAATGGACGTATTCATGAGGATTTTCCGTCTTATAGGTCTCTATATTACACGTCACGTGCATAGAGGTACCCGTATGGATCGTCAGACGGACAGACGCTCATTTTAATACAGATTTTGTGAAAGTGAATTAAATTATTTATTAATTTTTTATTTATTACTTTTTCAACATTTCAACTACACTTTTTCAAACATGTTTTTCAAATCCTTTAATTTAATAGCTGTAGTAAGAAGTTTCACTTCAATATGCCCACATAGTGCACACACGTTTTTTTTTAATTAACAACTTATATTAAACAAGCGGTTACTTAAGCGGTTAAAGCTATACTGGGTATTTCAAAATTAAAAAATAAAATATAAATCATTACATTCAAACACAGTTTAATTTTATTAATGTTAATTTTTTTCCTTTACAAGATACGTTTAAAAAATAATTGATTCGCAAGCATCTTTCAAGCTAAACTGTCCTGGTGTATCAATTTCTTTTGAAACACCTTGTATAGATTAAGGTATTAATAAAAATAAATTTGGTATAATTCGATTTCAATTCTAGGCTTATAACCTTGAAGATAAATTAATATTTGTAAAGACGTGGATATTAGAATTTTTAGATGTTTTGTTTAAATTAGTATTTATTCCGTTGTGTGTTAAAATTTAACATTAATTTTAAG